TCTCTCTCTCTCTCTCTCTCTCTCTCTCTCTCTCTCTCTCGCATACAGAAATAGACGGTAGCTTCTCCCTTTCTATTGGAGAAAGAAATTGGCGGGAGCTGCCCCTTGTTCTTGAAAGCTCGCTTCGGCTCCTCGCCGTCGACCTCCTCTGCACTACGGCCAGAGCAAGAAATTGAACGAGGGAGCTCCTTCCTGTGCTTGGAAAGCTTCCTTCCCCTCCCTCCCTCCTCTCTCTCTCTCTCTCTCTCTCTCTCTCTCTCAGGCACACACCGGTGGTTGGGGAGTGTGCAACGATAAAGTAAAAGGGCGTCCGATGTGAACAGAACCAGAACCGTCTCTTCCTTTGTGTCACTATATGACACGCTCGCCTTTTTATTTCGGGTTCCCCCTTGATCGCACGAAACATAAAGCGGATGATAGCATGATTTCTGATTTTCTAACCTTGAGATTCGTGCTACATTTAATAAATAGTTTTTTGTTATTTTATATCTTATTTTTAAAAAAAATAATATATCTAATTTAAAAATATTATAATATTTCGGTCATCATAATAAAGATATTATGAAATAATATAAGTATTCTATATAGACTCTTAATCTTAATTAAATTAATTATAAGTCTAAAAATATGTTATCATATTTCGATCATCATAATAAAAATATAATAAATATGAATAAATAAATAAAAATAGAAGATGTGAAATTATTTTACTTCGAATCTCATGTTGTCCTTTTGACAATATGTTATTGGGACTAAAAGTGATCACAAGCAAGTGTGTTCATGTGACACCATATGACGCTTTTCTCTTTGGGAACCTACAAACACCAACTTGTCATTACAAAGTGCATGAACTCTCCACGAGGCTAATCCAACCCCAAACATGACTTTGGAATATTAGGCAATAGTTTATGCCTAATGTGACCTTGCCACATAAAGATTGATTATTATGTGTTGGATCTGCCTTATTATATATTATCTTTTACGTTTGCACCCTATTAGCATCATGATTTATGTACTTAATGTTAGGAACGAGATCGACACTAAGAGGGGATGAATTAGTACAGCGGTAAAAATTATATCGGTTAGAAAATCAATTTCGGAAACTTAACTTGAAACACGTTCGTAAATGTATTTAAAAACAGTTTCATCATCAAAATCCGAGATTCAATACTTAAAAAATTTAAGTTACGATCATTATAACTCTAAAAGTGAAACAAAAAATTTCATTTGTCATATTATCGTCGTCGACATTGATAAAAAATATAACACGTGATATCACGTGTTGGATCGATATAAAAATAATAAGAAAAAAAATAATTTTAATATCCTTTTTGTACCTAGCACGTGGGATATTAAAATTATTTTTTTATCGATAAAATTATTAAAAACTAAATAGATGTTAAAATTATCATTTTTTCTATTACTTTCGATCTAACATATGATGTCAAAAGTGATTATTTATTTTATTTTTAAATTTATAGAGATCTTATTATATTTTTTTTAAATATAAAGATCATGATATTAATATAATTACAAGAGTTAATGTATAATTAACCCTTTCTCCAAACCATTTAGTTCCGATGCAACTTGGGTTGGAATGTTAGAGCAAAGAATTATTATTTAAGTCTGAATGGTCAACTAGTAGCATACCCAAAATTCTTGGTGCAACAAGAAAGTCAAACCCAAAAGGTCAAACTAAAAATCTCACATTTACTTTCTAGAAAGTGAAACCAAAACCTTTTTTTTATATCAAGTTAAAATGATTTGATAAAATGCATATACATACATACATTATAGTTGAATAAGCTTCATTTTGATATGGTTCAGGTTGACTAAGTATTTCTAATAAAATTGACTAAGTCAAAGATAGCAAAAATTAATATTCAAACTGAAAAAAATCGATCTTATTCAATTAGATCGATCTGAATTGTTATTTCGACTACTTACATCACAAAAGTCAAATAAATTATGAGATTAATTTTTGAGAGTTAGATTTATGAGATCGATACATATATGCATACATACATACATACACAGAATAATTTAATGCAATCAAGACATTGATTAGGTACAAAAGAATGAGCTAAGATCCCAATGATCAATGTGAAGAACAAGTGTGCTTTTTATCATCCAATCCTACCTGCACAGTATCTTTGGCCTGCTTTCATTTCATAGTCAATGCTGATATAATCATTAACTAATTGAAGGCTTTCTGGTATTCTGATTTCATCCAAAGAGATTCCTTCCTTTAATTTCATGCAGCAAGTCATCACTCTAACCTAAAAACCCACTAAGCTAAGCTCCAAGTTGATAAGAGATTCTTTGTTAGGTCATTGTTAGATTCATGCAGCAAGTCATCTCTCTCTTTCTCTCTCTCTCTCTCTCTCAAACTTATGCAAAATTTGTCATAGAAGCTATTCCTCCTTATAAATTTCATATCATTAACCTCAATATAAATCTTCTATATTCCTTCCAACTGAGCTGCTTTGATTCCTTGGAGGATTACTGACTCCACTGTATAGAGAGATAGAGAGAGAGAGAGAGAGACAAGACATGTAAACCTAATTTTGCCCGAGAGACACTAGAGGACAGGAGAAAGAACAAGGGGGAAGGTTTGTGATCTCAATCCCCAACTAGTAAATATCGACAATATTTATCATCGAATTAAGATGTGACGGGTTTTGATAGGACCATTTGTCTTTGATTAAGCTCAGTCCCACTGCAACAATAATGATCGTTCTTTTACGCTAATAATTGAGTTCTAAATGATTCCATATCCGCGGCTGCGGTATTATACTATTCCCGCGGTGTAAGTTATACTTTAACTAATGCTGAAAAGAAATGCGGGTTTCGTACCCGAAACTTACACGCGTTGTGACTGGGCAGATTTAGTGAGGCCCACCTGAAACACCGCAGGTGGGTGCTGGATAAGTGTCGCTCTTATTGCTGCGGGTACCATTTATGTAAACTACTCCGGCGGAGCAAGGTATCCACGGCGCCTGGGTATAAACCGCTCGACCGCCCCCCCCACTCCCCGTACGTCTTCGTTTGGCCTCCGTATTGTATTGGTATTGCTTCGCTCTTTTGGTCTTCGCTCACGACGGGAGGGGAGGATTGGTCTGCTGGAAGACCGCAAGGTATCGATCCGATTCCGATTAGTGATTTATCCATGTTGATTTTGCTTCTTCCCATTGGATCTCGGTGTCCTCTTCTCGATCGGCGGTGGTGGTGGTGGCAGTGGTGGTGGATCGAACCCTACGGTCTCGATGGCCCGATTAGGATTAGGAACCTCCAACTGTGTTTGGTGGAGTTTCGGGACTGTGATTTGAAGGGGAATCTAGTGGATCTAAGGAATTTTCGTGATCGAAAGGGGTTTGGTCTCTATGGTTTCATTGCTTCTTGATCCTTCGATGATATCTATGCTGGAGGTGTGGCTATGTTTGTTGATGCCGTTGGTCATCAAGAAAGAGATCTAGTTTAATATAAGCATATGTTGATGACTTCATACATGGTTTGTATGCTAAAAAAAACACATGATCTATATATTACATGATCTGCTTGCTTATACTGATAATGTGTTAGGTGGATATCGTATTCTTTTAAGCATAACGTATGTCCTTGATTTATGGATGCTTTTTGAAGTATGTAATTACCTTGTTACTTTTTAGGTTCAAACTAATGTATGTAAGGTCGAGATTGTTTGTATCTAATCAAGAATAACCACTGTGGTGCATACTGAAATCTCTGTCAATTTAGTCGCTTAATTATTGAGGAAAATTGATTTTTGAGGTTTGCATATCCCTGAAATGGTTTTCAAATGTTTAGCCATACTCCATGAAATAGAAACAGTCAGTTAATGAACATTGTTCTATTCTGGACTTGCGAGCACATCTTTAATCAATATCGAGACAAGCTTTCTCTTAATTTGTATTGGTAAAACTTTTGGTCCCTTTGTTTTGTCAGGTCACCTGATACATGGAGCAAGTGTGTTTTTTGTTACATTCTATTAAGTGCCGAGTTTTATCTCTTGATGGAGTTATTGACTGGAGGCTTTCTGTGCATGGAGCCTTCCTTCTCATCTTTTTCATCAACTGCACATAGAAGCTTGCTACTGTTCTACGACCTTCAAAGGCGGCCATGCAGCTTTTTTTTCTGATGTTGGGGTAGTGTTAATAGTGCAGCCTTGTAAGCTGACTTTGCTGCACGCAAGGTCTTCATCCTATCAACAGCTTTTGGCGTATCCATCTTTCTTTAAGTTGTCAACGCAGCTTAAGTTATCATGATCCTATTGCACAAGGATAACAGTGCTGGTATGATTTAGGAGATGGCTTTCTTATATTTCAGACCTTTTATTTCATACTTTAACCAATGAATTTTGGGCTTTTTTTTTTTAATCTCAGGTGTCATTTCCACCATATCTGATCCTACTTCGTCACCGTTCCATCCATTGGATCTTGTTTTTTGAGTTCCATTGGAGGTCATGTATGCCTTTAATCGAGCATGAATCAACAATGGGTCCTAAATCGGTTAGGTATCTACATAAGTCATGCTTGACTCTTGCACTTATCAAGTGATGACTGATACCATTAATATACTACAGGAAAGATTTTGTTGCTCACACCTTTTGCCTAGTGCAACGGGATGTAAATGTTTGTCCAGGAACTATAACGACAAGCATAGACAAAATAGTTTTTCTGAGTTAGTCCATCAGGATGATTCTATGCCCCCCCATCGTCTTTGAAGTTTTGCCTAGTGTTTCCTTGTCCTCAGAAGTTCATTTCAATCACAAGTGTTTCATCAGGTGTGAAATATACATTGTGCATAGGCACCCTTCTCTTGAATAAGACAGACTGTAGTGATTATATATTCAGCAAAAGATGGAAAGGTGAGTTTTCTTTTTATATCTGGTGGGATTTTACTGCTAATGTCAGTAAGTTATATTCAATAGGGATTTTTACCTTGGCTGCAGGTACAGGGTAGCCAAGGAAGTCGGAGATGGAACCTTTGGGACTGTTTGGCAAGCAATAAACAAACAAAGTGGTGAAGTGGTATGTATTTTTTGAGAAACTAACATGCCACTACGTTAATCATCTATAACCTTGCTTTGCCTAAGTATCATAGATATGAACAGTACTTTTTGATTATATTTGATTCCCCTTAAATGCATATATTCTTCCACTAGCGGATTTAAAAAAACAGAGCCAAATGCTACAGACTATATCCTTCTTTTGGGGTTGCTGGGGTGTGTGTGTGTGGTCGGTTGGTGAGGTTGAGTATGTGGGGAGACTGTTTGTCAGAACTTATTCATTTTGGAATGAAGTTTCTATATTTCATACTGTTAATGCAACTATGGTCACCACCACTAGATTGTTACAGGATGAATGACTTTTGGTATTGACAGGTTGCTATTAAGAAAATGAAAATAAAGTACTACTCCTGGGAAGAATGCTTAAATCTCCGGGAAGTTAAGGTAACTTAAGAACTTAATGTGTGAATGATGCTTTTTCCTCTTTTATAATCTCATGACACACAAAGGATTTAAATATTTTCCAGTCTCTGCGAAGGCTGAACCATCCGAATATCATCAAGCTCAAGGAAGTCATTAGAGAGAATGATACGTTGTACCTAGTGTTCGAGTACATGGTATGTCTCTGTGCTAGCTTTCTTTTTGTTCTCTGAATCTTTTTTGACAGCTGATTTTAATAAACTTTTTTTCTGTCAGGAGTGCAATCTTTATCAACTTATGAAAAAAAGGGGCAAGCCCTTCACAGAGGTTGAAATCCGGAATTGGTGCTTTCAGATATTTCAAGCTCTGGCTTATATGCACCAACGTGGTTATTTCCATCGTGATCTGAAGCCTGGTACTGCACTCATTTTTGGAGATTCTTTCTGATATATGTGTGCTTATTGTTATCTCACTGTTTTTGTCACAGGTAGCATACTTTAAATGGAGTCTAACAAGCATGAGTTGTATTTGATTATTTAACTCAGACTGAAACAGCTTATGTACTTTGGCCATTTATATGAATGTCCTAAGAAAACGGTAGCCTAGCACACAAGGCTCCCATTAATGTGGATTTTTATTAATGTTCTAGGTAGCCCAAATGTTCATACTAGTCTTCACTCCCAAACATTTTCTTTTGATTTATTATGCTTTTGATTGGTGAACTAGACTTGGATCAGATACATCCTTGAGTAACTTCTTTCCTGGCTTTCCCAACTGCACAAGTCGATTAATTTCATTTGAGCTTTTTATTCCTCTGGCATCTGCTGACCAACAGAGCTTTGTCACATTCTGATTGGGATGGCCTTCTGCTAAGTAAGATTTATGACTTTCTCAGAGAACATACTGGTAACAAAGAACATTCTAAAGATCGCAGATTTTGGCCTTGCTCGTGAAGCCTCTTCAAAGCCACCATTCACAGAATATGTCTCCACACGCTGGTAAGCATGTTTGATTATTCACATGTGCTGTCTTACCTTTTCTAAGTTAACTCGGTTCCTTATCATAATTGTGCTATTTGTTGATGATGTAGGTACCGAGCCCCAGAAGTTTTGCTTCAATCTTCTGTTTATGATTTTGCAGTTGGTTAGTGCACTAGAATTGTTTCCTGTTGAATATTAATAATTTTTTTCTGTTATATGCAATTGTGATCAACTTCCATTTCAACTTTAGATATGTGGGCAATGGGAGCTATCATCGCTGAGCTTTTCACACTCTGTCCCCTTTTTCCTGGATCGAGGTACACCAAATGGAAGAAAAAGCAATGTGTTGTATTATTTAACATATGAAGTGATATTAAAGACCCCCTCTACTCATCCCACGATTTACATTGTGGTTATAATATGTATCATACCGAGTGAAAAGAGGTTTTTTTCCCCTTAAACAAGTTCGATGTCAAACTTGCAAGCTATGCAGTCAATTCCTCACCACAACATCAGTGAATTTAAGGCCGGAGTTGTTGTTTGCATCCTTTTGAAGTCATCTAATTAACTTGGATTTTTTTTTTTTTTGTTAAGACCATCATCTGAAGTGTGATTAAGAGCTGTCTCGGTCTTGCTTTCTTTGTCTTGGTTATTGTTGTCTTTTACACTTTTGACAAGCATGGTACATGGGATGAATAATCAGAATTCTACTGCAACTTCATCTTTTTAATATAATGCTTATGTAGCTTATTTGGCTTATCATTCAGTGAGGCAGATGAGATCTACAAAATTTGCAGCGTCATTGGACCTCCTAATAGGAACTCCTGGGCTAAAGGATTGCAACTTGCAGATGCTATTAAATTTCAGTTCCCACAGGTTGTATGTTGCTTCATTACATGTTCCAATCTGTATATGCCTTTTGTTATTTTCAGTGTTATTGGTAAAAATCAGTGATCAGCATGCTCAGAAATATTTCCTTTTGATTTTGATGTCATAAAAATAATTGAAGCTCATTTTCTCTCCCTCTATGTCAGTTAGCGAGTGTTCCTCTTTCTCTGCTAATTCCTTCAGCCAGCCAGGATGCAGTAAACCTCATCTCGGTAAGCCTGATCTCAGATAAGTCTGCATTTAAGAGTGAATGTAGGTATGAGATATGAGTTCCTTCAAAGATGTTCAGTTAGGGTTATAATTTGTTTACTTTTATTTGACAGTCTCTTTGTTCTTGGGATCCCAGTAGAAGGCCCACATCTGTAGAGGTCCTTCAACATTCTTTCTTCCAGGTTATATGTTATAAATTGCTCATCTTGAACATGATTCATTCAGACGGGTACGAGTACAAAAGTAGGTTCTGACACATTTGTCACAATATGACAGCCGTGCTTCTACATCCCACCATCCCCTCGTGTTAGGTTATCAGTGGGAGCACCAAAAACATCTCCATCTGGTTTTCTCTTCTTCTTTCTCTACCTTTTTCACTTTTGTTGTCACTATTACGGCAATGCAACTCTCTTGAACTAATTCGTACTCTGTACTTCTAGTTATCATGAAAGGAGTTTTAGAATCAGAGGCTGCTAGAAGATATTCTCTGGATTTTTTGTCCAATGCAAGAATGTCGAGCAATTTATCATTTACAAATGTAAATGAGTCCTCAAGGACAGGTGATTTTTTTTCTTTGTTCTTTTTCTTTTTTGTTCAGGGTTAATCCATCCGATCATGTTACTCAATGGATTTGCCCTTCCAAAATATTTCCGTTAACCATGTTTGTCATGTGGCAGGTGTTCAAAGGAATATCAAGATGAGTCACCAGGTAGAGAGTATTTTAATTGCCACCTTATATAAGAATATATTTTTTAAGTTTAGTCTCTGATCCCTTCTAATTGTAATTACAGGAAAACAAGAATGAAAGATTTGATACAAATGATATTAAACCATATAGACATCAACCAGCTGCAAGAAACACTCCTGGTATGTTTTCATGGTTTTAATTTCCGACATTTCTTTTCCTATTATCTTTGTGCTTGACTTGGATGAGTTGGTAAAGCATTATATTAATTGTTTATTACCCAGAGAATAAATTTTTTTTTATGTTTTTATTAAAAATTCTATTTTTATGCCAGGATATTCCCGAATGACTTGTAATGTGGTTGAGAAACTGGCTCACTTGACGGTGAGTCCAAACAGAGATTCACATATTGCTGGGAAAGCACCAAATCTGAACCTGCGTCCAGCGAGGGAGCCATCTCAGCTAGTGACACAGCCTCCTGCCTTGAAATCTGGTATATGGCACGGGCGCACTGCTTTACTTGGCCGACCTAATGATATTCCAGCAGCTCGATGCTACCATGCCAGAAAAGTTGCAGGCTAAGGACTTGTAGCTGCCCTACAATAAAAGTCAAAGCTAAGAACTTGTTTGGTTTATTACATAAAAATTTCTTCTTGTTGTTGGTCGACGACCTTTGACTACGGTTGCTTATTACGACATATGATATTTTTTATATGTGATATTTCTTAGCTATCCAAGACTCAAATCTATAAAACATTGCTGTTCTACCAATGATACTGTTGAATATTTCTCTTTATTATTGGATAATCTCAGAAAATCCTTTTGCCCTTTCTATTTGAACTATCCAACTTTTAGATCTTTCCATCTGATTGATCGTTATTTGTCAAATAATCTTCATATTTCATAACAGCTTTTTAATGTTGTATTTTTAGTCATTTTTAATTATCTTTAATCTACCTTTCTACCTTTTTACTATTAACATGTGTTTTCTATTTCAACTATCGCTAAGATCTTATAATTTTAGATGTTCTTTAATTTTTATTCTATAATTAAGTTTTTTTATATTTGACATTTATTTTATTTTTAATTTTTTTATTTCTATCGTTGTCCTTTTTTTTAAACCTTTGTTTGCTTTCTACGTCCTATTTTTTAAAGTTTAATTTTTCGTTTTCCATGAATAGGATCAAAGTGAGATGAGAAGGGAAGAAGTTAATTTCAATATTATTTAGTGGATATTAATTTTCTGGGACAGTGCAAACGATTTGTTTTTCTCTTTTTAAAACTTTGGTAAAAAAATATTTAGCCTTTGAAGCAGAGAGATTTTCAGATAATTTTCATTTAAATTTATTTTTAAATTAACTAATTTATTATCATTTAAAAAAAGACTTATTTGTAGAATAAAGTTTGATAATAAAATGATATTTTTGGGTGAATTTTTGATAAAAATCTCTAAGTTTGAAAATTTGTTACAGCAGCTTAACTTGTGTTTGAATATTTAGCCTTTGTTTGCTTGTTACAGCAGTTTGAAAAATCGCTTTTTGCACATTCCATAATTCTCCGTTAGTAGTCAACCTGCATGCATATGTTGGTGCTGTTTGGTTGCTCTTGCTCTCTCAATTCTCTCTAGGTTGCTTTTACCTTTATGCATAAAGCTAGCCTCGTCGATCGTCCCTCCTTATTCTATGTCCTATCAATCACTTCCCTTCGCGCATGATGCCTCTAAGATTCGACTAGGACTATTATAGGTGTCCACGCTCGTACCCACGATACCTCCGAAGATAGAAGCAAAATAAATTGTTTACGTGGCCAACGGTGTTTTGCGAAATTTTTTTAAAGTTGGACGTTCTACTGAAAATTCTCCAACTTTGGTTGTTTTTATTTTTCGAAAATTCGTTTTTTTTAAATTAAATTTCTTAAGTGAATAATATTTGCAATTTTCGGGCATCACCGGTTGCCAACTCAATGTGCCACATGGTTCGTGGACCCGCAACCGTAGCCGTAACCGGACTTGTTTCGAGCAGGTGGGCGTGAGAGTCGCTGTGCTACTTATCTGTCTCCTCCAAAACAGCAAACACAATTTCTCACCACAGTATGCCCAAAATACTCCATGACGGCATCTCAAGTGCTTCGTGTAGGCCGTACGGTGCCTCATTCTACACAGCGAATCACACCAAAACTTTCGGTACCCCTTTATATGTATATATATACGTTGTGGGTGGCTCCGAGACAAAAAGCTAGCGAGGAAGAAACGAAGAGTTCGATCGCGGGATCAGATCCGGTCCGATCCGCCATGAGCCTCTTCGGTCTCGGAAGGTACCTCTCGATCGCTCCACGCCTCGTCTGTCTCTTTGATTCGTTGTAGTTCGTGGGATTTCTTGTTATATGTTCTTTCACTTCGATCGCTTTCCTTTTCAACTTTTTTCCCCCAATTCCCTCGTCGCATCTTATGCTGGGCAGTTAAAAGGGATTATATGTTCTTTCTTGGATGACCTCGTCATAATTTTTGGATCTTTGGTAATTGTTATTGATGGAGGTCCGGTATTGATGGCCTGGCCCCAAATTCGTGCGGCGAAAACTTGTTTAGATGCTCCGCGCGTTTGCTAATAATGTGGTTGATAAATTCACGCTAGTTTTGAGTCGAAATTTAGTTATCAGGGTGAGGTCTTTCCATTGGGGGACTCTAAGAAGATCGTGGAAAGCTCCGTGCAAATCCCTTCGTCAAATTTATGGTATAACCGCTTGAACTTGGATGCTTGATCAGTAAAATAAGGAACAGCCTCTAGAAATTCATAAAAAAATCAGCGCGAATGTACTGGGAATGAGGTGATGGTGTGTTATGTTTTTTGGTCCTTAATTGAAAGGAATTTGATTGTTGGCATAATTCTTAGATGAAAATTCTGCAAATAACATGTTCTTGGTTGGCCATGTGATATGCTTTGGAATTGGATGCTCAACACTCAATAGTCAGCTAAACAACCAGTATCTTCTCTGTCGCAGATGTGATTATAATTGTTGCTGTTTTTAATCTGAAACAAGAAGCTTGAATTATGTCCTCTGGCATGAAACATGACAAAATGATGGTTGACTTAGGAAAAGATATCTTGGAGGAGTTCTTAACAAGATTGCTAACTTTTAACCTCAGCTGATATCAAGAAGTATATGAGTAGCTTTTAGCTGGATCATGCATTTCAGATAAGTGTGTGATGGATAATAGCAAAATAGATGACAAGGATATGTGATTCTCATGTAATGCCTAAAGTATTACGGGATTGGATTTGAAGACTTAAATACACATTCTTGATGTCCTGTCACTGTTCAAAATAAATATTGACATGACATGGTTTTATGGGAAGTTTGTTTGAACTTCATTTTTCTGATTTTTATTTTTCATCATCGAATATTTAGCAACTCTGGTAGTTTAGGCCTCACTGGGCCTAATTTTGCAATTAATTACTTGGTCAATGAAAATTCGTCTGCAACGAATCACTCGATCAAAATAATTTAAAATAATATTGGTGATCTGGAACTAGCAGGTCCCTCTACATCATCAAGGCCTCTTTAGTGAAGAAAGCTTCATCAATATGTAGTCACCTTTCTGAAGGATGGTTCATCTTTCCTATGCATTTAAGAATGATCTGCAGTGAACATGGTGCATAAGGATAAAATAGTCACAATAAAATGTGAAAGTGCGAGATGAAGACGTTGGTATAATATGTGCTAATGTCAGGTTTGAAATATTAATGAAGGAATTATTGTTGAATGGAATCAATGAGAAAATATACTGTTGTTACTTTTTAACGAAAAAGCCCTCCAAACACTTGTTTTAACTAATAATGAATGTTGAGTTCCTAAACCTTGACAAATTAGCCCACAACGCAAATTTTTTTTATAATAATGACGGCGTACATGATTTTCGGTCAAGTTTGGTTGGCTTCTAGGAGAAAGCACTTGTTTCTATTAAATCTCCCTGAAATTGGCCAAAACCAGCAAGAACAGCGGAAACCAACTGAAACGAGCTGTTTTACGGAAACTGGAAAATGATGATTAAATCACAAAAGTAAGTTGAGTTGTTTTTGTGGCACTGGCGGCAACCACAATTTTTTAGGTACACTAGAAGTATTAGGATCCCTTGTGTGAGGGGTTCTGTTGAAAGCATATGGAACTGTGGTAACATATAATTATCTCATCAAATTCTTTCTGTCCCTTATATTAATTTGCTCTTTTTCAGGAACCAGAGGACATTTCGGCCTAAAAAGAGTGCACCATCTGGCAGTAAGGTAGTCTATCACTGTGTTATCTGTTTAATTCTTGAATTATACGAAGATGAACATTACCTTTTTGTAGGACTAAACAATATATTAGAAGTCTCTCCTTTTTAAGTTAATTCCACTAAAATTCATTTTTTTTTCCATTCTATCCAAGTATTCATTGTGTATCCTCAGACAATTTCAGACAGTTAATCTTTTGGCCTGTTAGGATGCTTCAACTCCCTATTCAAGTGCATCTCCCAGGGAAAGAAAATTTCAGTTGAAACCGAGAAGGGAATGACTCAGAGAGGTGGAAGAACACACTAATCAGTAATTATAACTTTTACTAGGCAAGAATTCCACATAAATGGTTTTGCTGTCCTTCTAGAAAACGATTCTTGAATGAAAATAACTTTTCTAAATGTAGGGCTAAGGTTTTGTGCGTGTGCATCCAGTTGTCCTTTCTTAGGCTCCTGTCTCTCCAGTACCTCTCTTTTGCTTACCTATATGCTCCAAACCATGGTTTTAGACAATGTGGTGTTCGGACCATTCCGGTTGAATATCATAATGGTATAATATGGTATTGATTGTACCTACTTGTTAACTATTCCTTTAATATTTCTTATTGATGCACCGAGGTGCATCAAGGAATACTATACCATACTGGTCCATATCAATCAGTAGGTCTGACTAGATTCTAAGACAGAATGGTGCTGGTTTGTAAAACCTTGCTTCAGCAATGATAAGATATTAGACAACTTTCTAACTCAGTACAGGACCTTTGGTTTGTGATATCTGAAGGAATATTTTATTATGATTCTGGGAGAACTATGGACAAAATAAGGAATGTTCCTCCATTAATGCTTGTCTTTTACATCTGCAGGGTGCCCAACTCCGGAAACACATTGATGCAACTCTGGGTAGTGGAAACCTAAGGGAAGCAGTAAGACTCCCACCTGGGGAGGATTTGAATGAGTGGCTTGCAGTCAATAGTAATGTTCTTTTTACTTAATGATGCTTCTAAGCATAGGTTCCATTTTTTGCTGTTCTTTTTAGTTTTTTGGATGTGTTGAAATTGACTAGTTGCTATTTCTGAAGTTAAGTTACTGTGTCAGAATATGATGGTGTGATACTGTAGATCTGTAATGTGTCAAAAGAAAGTTGCTTCCAGTTGAATTTAGGTCATGTTTCTTCAATTTGATGCAGGTGATGAGGCTAATACTTCGATTTTTTTTTTCAGCTGTTGATTTCTTCAATCAGGTGAATCTGCTTTATGGCACACTAGCAGAATTCTGCACACCTGAGAATTGTCCTACAATGACCGCAGGTCCAAAGTATGCTATGTAACACATAAGATTGTGCTTAAGTTGTTGAAAATTCATGCAAACTCTATCAGTAAGTAATGTTGTAAAGTAGGCTTATGAGTATCCTGCACATTGTAGATCGATATATTTGACTGAAAGCATTGAATACTTGACCAAATTGTGTAGTTGCATATTCCATTAAAAACATCACAATACTGTTCTTTTAACTTTAATATGGTTAATGGTAAGCTTAGAGAGTGAAAATGGGATATCTTATGAAAATATTATATAAGCTTCTTTTCTTTATTCATTTTGTATATTATGTGCCTGTTCTTGCAATATCTTGTCATCTTCTTGAATAAGTCTTCCAGTAAAAGGATACTTATCAACTAGTTTGTAAGATCTGGCTTCTTACACTGGCCCACCTTACCATCTTTTTCTTTTCTTCACCTTGATGTACTTCTTTTCAACTAACATTAATAAATTTTTTGTGACAATTAACAGTTCTATACCATTTTGCAAAGTAATCACAAACATAACTGATGTTGTGGCAGTTTGGTTACAAACTTCTATCTGATAGCATTACGATCTTGTATCCCGATCTTAGGCATCTTGTCAAAGGTTATATATGGTGTTCCCTTTTCCCTTCAAAGGTTTTTCTCAGATACAAATAAGTAAAAATTTGCAATATCCAACTAATTTGGAAAGGAAATCTTACATTATCGATCATGTGTCATTTTAGGTAACATCTCCAGCAGTCAATGCAACCAAAATGGTGCATTGTTCATGTTGGATAAGAACTTATTCCTGTCCCTTTTCTTAACCTTGAATCTGTATCTTTCTCCAACTCCATGGTTGATTTATGTCGTTTGAAAGAAATTTAAACATATTCTTGAATATTTTGCCACTACTGAATACTTGCTATTTATGCTTTCCTAGAATATGCTATACTTACTCCAGGCAAAGCCTCCTAGACAAGGCACTGCAAGCAAGCTGATCAAGGCACCCTTAAATCTGCTTATGTTTCTCTATTAATAGATAATCAGATAAAAGCTTAATAAAACATTACATTTGTGCCCACTTTAGTGCTGCCTGGTTGCCTAGTTGCTTTAGCATATACCTGTCTCGTTATTTGAGTACACTTAAATACGTAGGTATGAGTATCGATGGGCAGATGGTGTACAAATAAAGAAGCCTATTGAAGTCTCAGCGCCAAAGTATGTGGAGTACTTGATGGAATGGATTGAAGTTCAGCTTGATGATGAGTCTATATTTCCTCAAAAGCTAGGTAGGGGCTGTTGATATAAATGAATTGCATTCTTCTCTCCAAGTGCACCTACTTGTTTGCTCATCTGGTCTCTGTCTTGCAGGTACACCTTTCCCTCCAAACTTTAAAGAAGTTGTAAAGACAATATTCAAGCGCTTGTTCCGCGTCTATGCCCACATATACCACTCACATTTTCAGAAGATTGTCAGCCTCAAGGAAGAGGCGCATCTTAATACGTGCTTCAAGCATTTCATTCTTTTCACTTATGTAAGCACTTCTATTCTTGTAGCCATTTGTACTTGATGCATCTTTATGTTACCTTTTTGATGCATCTATTCTTGATATTCCTACCACTCTATTCGTTAGGGCAAACTCAAATAACTAAGTGATTTAGACATTCTGGATATTATCCGTTTTCTTCTGGAGAGATTTATCAATAAACCAGTAAACCTCCATAATGAAACTAATAAGTGGCGGATTATCAGTCCTTATATGACAGTCCATCTTGTCCAAATCTCCTGTATATAAACATTTTAATCTTCCATACTGTTATGAACCTGATGGCAAAGAATCATGAGGGCATAACGTAATCTGTATTGGTTTTTTTTTTTTTTGAAAATTAGTTCACTTTTTTCCATGAGATATAACATAGATCAACTGGTCTGGTTATCTTCATTCGTTCTTACTGGTTTTTAAGATGGATATGAACCTGTACCTAGGTTGATAGATATATTTTAGGATACTTTTAACATTTCTCATTAATTTGCATGGTACCATTGGATTGGTAGAGAATTTGCCTAACTAATAGCTTCTAAATGTGCACCTTAAATGCCTCAAGATTCATTGGCCTCATGCAGAATGGTACAGAATTTGCTTAACATTTTTACGATAAGGGTATCATCCCCTTTTCATGTCTGCCTTGTCTACAGTTCTCATCAAAGCAATACGTTTGAACAATTTCTTGTGGGCATGTGTTGCTGACATCTTCATGTGATTGTGACGCAGGAGTTTGGCTTGATCGACAAGAAGGAACTTGCCCCACTTCAGGAGCTGATAGAATCCATCAATGTTCCATATTAAGCCTGTCTATTCAGAGACATCCGCAGTACTGCTGATCTTGAAAACTGTCATCATCATCTTAAATCTTAGTTCGCTGCTTGGTTTCCTTCTATTTACTTGTATGCTGATACAGTGGGGTGTATTCGTGTATTAATGTATTGGTGAATAAATGCCAAGGATGATTACATAGCTTGTGTCTTCACAAGGCTGATGTATATTGTTTGTCGAATTGGTTCAGATGCTCTCGAAGCATCGGACTAATATCTTTGCTGGCCTAGAAGACAAGACTCCTAGGTGATTAGAAGTTGCCTAAGGAGACACCACATGAAATGCCAGTTCTCATAATTTAGAGGACCATTTTGGCCTAATATCTATCGTTGATGGTTAATGTGAATTAGGGTGTGACATTTGGGTTTTCTTTTTGATCCAATAATAATATGTAAATCTTGTGGTTGAAGCTGTAACCTCGTAGAGTTAAAGATGCATGCCACCTTTTTGATGCTTCGATGCAGTCGATTCGTATTCTGTTGGGAACTCTGTATACCATTTCGCTCTGTTTCGAACGCTGCCTCTCTCTTCCCGTCTCCCCTTTTTATTCTAATAAACCGAATAATTACGCGCGTTTCGTACAAACTGAAATCCACATGAGAAACATATACCGTAGCGACGAGTGGATCCCACCGAGGCCAGGTGGGCCCACCTAATCCGACGGTGCTGGAACGATCTCATTCCACTCGCTCTTCCCCATAACCGGAACCCGCCGTATAAATAACCACCACTCGCAAGGGGGTCTGATCTCTACTCTTCCGCCCCTATACGGGCGATCGTCGATCGCAGCTGCTTTCCCTTTTCGCCGAGGCCTCCTCCGCCGTAACCTTTTGGCAATTGAGTGCCGATCGAGCGGTGGAGATGTCCTCGCTGTCTCCACTGCCCATGACTCTCGAGTAGGGGTTTCGTCTCGGCCGCCCATGTATGGGCGATGGTTGATCGCCGCCTCCCGATCTTGGTATCTACTCCGACGCTTCCTCTCTCGCTTGACTTTGCGACTTCTCAGTACCGATCGGGAGACGGAGATGCCTCTGTTGTATGCGACTGGGTTCCACTACGCAGCAGATGAGCGATCGATTCATCCTATTAATTCTTTGTTGAGGTGAGATTTAGGGTTACGTTAGCCCTGCATTTATTTTTTACTTCTTTAATTCAGCATCTCGTTGAATATGTTGGTGGATTTCGACTTCAAACCATATCTACTTTGTTTGCTCACATACTGTTTACTACAATGTCCTTCTCGTTTCTCCTCTACAGGGACGGGCGCAAGGCCGGTGCGATGATTGCTACAGCAAATGAACTACAAGGTAATAATGTGACATTAACTAAATCGTTCTTCCTCTTCTATACTCGTTGCGTTCCATCAGTCCATTCTGCCGCTGTTATTACGTTTTCGTCATCCCATTTCGTTATGGTTAGCATATAAGTCCATCTTGGCAAAGCGGAATAGCCTCAATAGGCAGTGTCTTGCTTTGAATGCTAATGGACTGACATCAACCTTCTTCTTTTCGGTTCTGCACTCGACTCTGATCGCGATGCAGATCAGTAAAGATGATACAACATCTCTGTTCAGTACTAGCATTCTCTCAGTTTCTTCATTAGAATGCTAACGTCTTAGCAACGAAGAGACATCACCATCCCGGTTGGATGGTAAAAGTGGATCCCATTTTTTGACCCACAGTTCGGTGCCTCTTGGGTAAACGAGTGGGTCATTGGAACTGCTTCCCTGGAAGGAAATTGTTTTGTCGAGGGTGTACTGGAGATTGAAGGTTGTGGAGATTCGTGCATGCCCATGGAATGGGCCACGTGTCTACAACGCGTTCAGCATCATGCGCATGATGATGTTGACGCGTGAGACGCACCCGCTTTCGCCAAATGCGGACAATGTTCCCCGGCTCGACCAAGACAAGCGCAACCACGCCGACCCCGGTTCGATGTCGTGGCAGGCCAATGTAGGCGACCCAAGTATTGATGTGGTGCGTGTCTCGCGTCACTGGGCGCTGAGACTTGTTGTGACGACAAGTGAAATCGTTCGGGGCAACCACAATAACAAATAACAAATCTGCGTAAGCGTACGGTACCAATCAATTGATTGCGGAGGATATTCCAAATTTGGACAATTATTTTTTATTTAATTTGGTGATGACGTAACAATCGAGCTATAATGAACGACTTTAGGGGTCGATTGATCGGGGAAAATATACTTAATTTGGACAGTTTATTTTGATTTGATTTCGAAAAGACGTGACAACTGAACTATAATGAATGAGTGAATTCATTTTTTTATTATTTGCAGTTGTTACGTCTACCTATTTGCAGTTCTTTATGAATCCGATGATATCCGAGTCCACGTCACAAGAAAAAAAGAGTTCCTGTCGAAAGCAAAACCAAACAAAGTGTTCACACAATAACACACGTATATTTATATTTTGATAATAATAGTATAAGTTGTCTTGTGGGCGAAGGAAGGGAGTTGACGGGGATGCGGATGCGTGTTCACACCGGCAACCATCCTGTGGTTCCCACTTGGCGTGACGGACTCTTCCTCTCCTCTCCGTATGTGGTAAGGGGAGGACGAACGAGGCGACAAACGAAGCGAAGCGAAGCGATGATGTTCTTCACACACGGCAAAACGAGGCGGACACGCGCGCCCAATCATTCCCACAAGGAAAAGGATGGGCGGGAAAAGTAATGGTGCGACGCGGTTTCCCTGAACCGGGCCCCTCCGAATCCCAACTTCCCCCACCATACGACCCTGACATGCCGTAACGTTTTCCGCGAAGCGACACGCTTGTTTGCTCTCAAACACCTTTTGATGAACATATTATCCAAGCTCATTTAGTTCTTAGTTAAGAGATAGACATAAATAGTCATACAATTTATTCATTCTTTTTTGTCAATCCTTTGGATTTACTTTTCTGATTTGTATCCATTTCAAAAATGGTCAGCCGTATGCATGCATGGGCATACAATTTGACCATAGTCCCTCCTACATACAATACATATATGCATGAGATGACGATGGTATTCGGCTCGTGTTCGACAGCACTATTCTGTGCTCGATCAAGCGGCATTTTCCACCGACTTCCCTTGGAACATATTCCTCGCTTTCCGCAGTCTTTGTTTCAAACCTTGTGCTCTCTAATCGAAGCTTCTCTTCCTTTCCACACTATTGTAATCCGTGTGGTCTCCTAAAGTTATCCAACATCATTTTGTTACGTGTTCTTCCACTGTAGAGTTGAGGGTCATGAACAAGACAGCTAACTAATATTCTGCTATTTATCTTTACAAGATCTTTCCTTTCAACTTCTCCACCTCTGGTAGTTGATTTTTTCAAAATTTATTTATTTTTCTTTCTTTCTTTCTTTCTTTCTTTAGTTTGGGAGTTTGGATCCTGACGTGATTAATGCTTTAGGTGTGGTCAAATAATGTGGTGACAAGAAATGTTAGACTAGTCTTTTAAGTTGCACTCGACGATTCATGTTTATTCAAATTATAGGATTTGTGAGACTGTTTGAATGTTGACTTTGACCAAGGGGTCAATTGATTTTCAACTTTTACGGGTTATACGAGCATCTTAACTAATATAAAGTATATTAGTAGAAAATCGTTATTTAGGCGTACTGATCCGTATTAAGGAGATTTTTTTAATGAATTATGTATTTAAAAAATTAAGTAGTGTGTGGGGGATTAAATTCCTCGATAAATTTAATATATCAATAATACGAAATGGCATCAAAGTAATTATCTGACAGTCGGCAGCTTTATAGAGGCAGTAAGCGCAAGAAGTAAAGGTGGGAGAGGAAAGAGCGATACGTCGTTAGAGAGAGAGCGAGAGAGAGAGAGAGAGAGGAAAAATAGTAAGGTTGGGGTTTTCGGAGGGGTGGGAGAAGATGATGCACGGAGGAGGAGGAGGTGGTGACGGTGGCTACGTCGGGCGGATGGCGATGGTGGCGGGAATCCCACTGCAGGTAAACCCGGCGCCGGCGGCGGAGATGTTGGACACGAGCGGCGGGGCAGGGGTACCGCAACCGCCTCAGCCGCGGCTGAGGGTGAAGGAGGAGAAGGTGCCGCAGTGGAGCCAGCAGGAGACGCGGGATCTCATCGCGATCAGGGCCGAGCTGGAGCGCGACCTCGCGGTGGCGCGGCGTAGCAGGACGCTGTGGGAGGCGGTGGCCGCCAGGATGCGGGAGCGCGGCCACCGCAGGACGTCGGACCAGTGCAAGTGCAAGTGGAAGAACCTCGTCAACCGCTACAAGGTCTCACCCTTTTCTCGTCGATCATTCTTTTCCCCCTTTTTCTTGGTTCCCCCAATCTTGCCTCGTTGATCTCGATCGGTATCTCCCAATTGATTCTTTGATTTGTTCTGTAGGCCGCTGATCCCGCGGACGGCCGGCAATGCCCCTTTTTCGAGGAGCTGGATGCGGTGTTCTTGGAACGGGCGAAGAACACGCAGCGGCTCCTCTTGGAATCGGAGTCCATCGCCTCCCCGTCGAAGAAGAAGCTGAAGAGGCTTAGCGGGGATCGATCCTCCTCGGACGAGTTCCCGGAGGACGACGAGGACGAGAACGGCAGCGACGAGGAGCGCCTCTCGAGGAGCAGAAAGAAAAAGGCCGACAGCAGCAGAGGGGGACAGAGGGCGGCCGGCATCCGGGAGCTGCTGCAGGAGTTCCTGCAGCAGCAGCGGCGGATGGAGCTGCGGTGGCAGGACACGGTGGAGCGGCGGGCGCAGGAGCGGCGAGCTCTGGAGCATGAGTGGCGGCTGTCGATGGAGAAGCTGGAGAGGGACCGGCTGCTGCTGGAGCAGGCGTGGCGGGAGCGGGAGGAGCAGCGGAGGATGAGGGAGGAGAACCGGGCGGAGAAGAGGGACGCCCTCCTCACCACTCTGCTCAATAAGCTCATCCAAGATGATGATCTCTGAGACGGCCTCCCTCTTGAATTCCATTGATGATCATTTCATGTCGAATTAATTTAACACAACGTATGAGATATTTTCCCATTTAACATAATTTATAGATCTCTATGGTTCAAATAATTCCTACTACGCACATTGGCATATCATTCTTCAATGGCGAGCAATCGATCCTGACATTGCAGCGGTTCCGAGGAGACATGGCTTCTTTACATCACCAACACATGACCTATTTGCCACAAGAATGACGGATGTCATGCCATTCCTACATCACATCAGGAAGCTCACTGTTTATATTGATGTTAGTTTCTGCTGCAGCACCACACAAGACTTTGACCATAGCTGGTGTTTACTTACATGTGATCAAAGTGGGCTAATTACATTACCAGTTAAACCTGCCTAACATTCATATTCCTAGATTTAAAAACTTATATTAGAATCTTCATTATTATAAAAATAAAATATATAAGTCCATTTACATTCACGTTATCAGTTTTATCAATA